TGCATTTTTCCCGTTAAACTGCAAAACTTGTGCATTTCACTCGTTATTATAAAAAAGTTTTCCTAAGTATGATATAGCATTTGCGATCAACAAGATGTTGGTTCTGAATACGACCCTGGCCAATTCTTGGGATTTTCAATATCACGTGCGTAGGGCATGTCAATGTTTACATCCACTCTATCTTGGATTTGAATTTGCTTTAGGTTTCAAAAGCTTTGTCCGTTTTCAGGAGTCCATTCAAACGTCAAGTCGACAATTCTTCGGTAACACCCCATCATTTTATTTCTTTCTGGTGGTAGTGTTCTCCTGTAAGAGAAATGAAAGATCATTAAGTCCGAAGATCTGCAACAATGTCTTTTGGATAAATTTAACAATCCTTAATCGTTTAATCCCAAAAAAATTGAACAATGAGAACGAAAACCGTTAGTGGTGAATTGATCGTTTTCTTAGGGGCAACCATGGGTCTATCTCATCAAATAAAATAGTGGAATTCGCTCCTAGGACCTCAGTATGCTACTCTCTATAACAAAATTCCTGAAATCCATTTTCCGTGAAAAACAACCTTCAGAAGGCGAGGCATGTGCTAACTGGGTCTAATCCTTACAACGTGCGATTTCTAGTACGGGTCAGACGATACGCAGTAAAAATCTGACGGTTCTGAACCTTTTAGAGTCATTCAATCATCAATACAGCAATCAACACCAATACAAAATGGTATTTTTCATCGAAATTCATTTTTAAAATGTATCATTTATACGACAGCTCTGATGGCTTGCTACTTATCCAAAGGGGAGTTACCTATGTATCAATCTTTTTGTATCTGTCTAGAATATGAGGACATATGTGTCATGAAAGTGCAATAGAAAACATCGAGAGAAGCGTATGTACAGAAAAAACTCACAACTACAATTCCATTGAACTGAACGAACAACCGGAATAGCATATTTCAAAGACGTATACACATAAATCTAAATATACGTTGTAAAAACGCTTTGTGTGCTTCTGCTTGGAATCTATTCCCAAATGTCTTGCATAGTTAATATGATTATTATTCAACTAGGTATTATCACAACAGTATTACAAAATTTCTTTTGTAATTATTCAAACATCAACTAACAGGTTATAGGTATACCGATTATACGATACAGATAAAATTATTCGTGTTGGGAGTTCAGGATACACTTATTAAAAAAACAATATATACTTTATTTCTGACCGGGATATTATAAGCTTATATCGTCATAGTTACGCTATCAATAAAGAGGGTCATAACTCCCTTGGGACATTATAGATTTTATAATTCCCTCTACCTTTCACAAGTAAAAATAAATAGAAATGAAAACTGAACCATATTTNAATATGAGGACATATGTGTCATGAAAGTGCAATAGAAAACATCGAGAGAAGCGTATGTACAGAAAAAACTCACAACTACAATTCCATTGAACTGAACGAACAACCGGAATAGCATATTTCAAAGACGTATACACATAAATCTAAATATACGTTGTAAAAACGCTTTGTGTGCTTCTGCTTGGAATCTATTCCCAAATGTCTTGCATATTTAATATGATTATTATTCAAGTAGGTATTATCACAACAGTATTACAAAATTTCTTTTGTAATTATTCAAACATCAACTAACAGGTTATAGGTATACCGATTATACGATACAGATAAAATTATTCGTGTTGGGAGTTCAGGATATACTTATTAAAAAAACAATATATACTTTATAATAGAAGACACAAAAACCCGGAAATATCTTGATACACACGTCTAGCATTCAAGTGCTTGTCTTTATACTAGTACAAGAACTAGCAGAAAAAATGTCGAGCACAAATACAAACGTAATCGTACTTTGAATTAACACAAAGCAAAAATTTATATTTTTGTCGCCGGGAGTATCCATCATCCAGTTGAAAATTATTTTTCCATGAAATAAAACGTTATGTTTTCACACATGCGGTTTTTTTGGGCTCTGCCGAACTCTAAAAACCTGATTCGGTCCCCAGCGGGGCAGGCACAAAGTATGTGCTCTGCTGTTTCATCATTTTTCAAACAGAGGCGACACACACTGTCTTCTGACAGTCCGAGTTCCTTCAAAATAGTCTTCCTCAGATATAATACACTCTCACTCACTTTCTATTTGAAATCTTCATGTCTTTCGAAACATTGCTGTTTAAGGAACGTAATTCCGGTTATCATGCATCACGGATTTTTGCCATTGTGTTTGTACTACACTTTAATTATCGTCTTTTTTCATTTTTTCATTGGTGTAATACAGAAACGTGTATTACATATTGAAAACAGCTGTCATCTAGGAGGCAGCTGTTTAAAAAATTTAAGGTGAAGTTTCAGGTTGTTTTAAAAGTTTTGATATAATGATTTCAGACAAAGAAATCGAAGTTCTTTTATTCTTCACTTTCAGTTTGAATAATAATAATAATGAACGTCTGTATTCTTACCTCGGGGTGGACCAACGCCACTCGCAAGAGGTAACAGCTGTGAAGAACTCTCTCCGCGTCAAGTATCAGCACAAACTTCGACAGATCTGGTCATCGGAACTGTCGGGGAAGAACAAAGTTGCTGCAACAAATATGCTTGCCGTTTCTTCGAACTCCGCAAATTCTATCCAGATCACTCTGTCAAGATGGTTGTTCTGATTATTGGAGTCCTTGGTGGAATGATGTCCTCTCTACTCTCGAATCTTAAAATCATACCGGCTTGCCGCACTAAGGCAGAAATCTTAGCCGCACAGGTGCAGAAAGCTGTCATTCTTGGCTCACTGCGTTTGCTCAGTGCACATGTTTCTGGGACCCAATGAGCACTTACCCCACGGTGTGGGGAGTGTTCATTTGTTGATAATGCTGGCGAGCCCTCCCGAATGTATCGGGGCTTCGGGGGGGGGGGATAGGGCCTGACCAGTGCACACTACGGTGAAAAAATATCGTCTTCATTTCCTTTCTGCTCATAAAATAGGCGAAGTTTAGCCTAAGGCTAGTCTTACACTTAACCTAAGTTGTACAATTAAATATTACAAAAGCATTCTTATTAAAATACAAAATATGTACATGATCTATAATACAGCAATTATCAAAACCTATAAAATATAAAATAATTTATAAGCAGCGGGTTCATTATACAGTGTGTAAAAGCTAAATGGAGTAAATTCATTATTTCGGTTACTATACATATTTAAAAAAATCCCCAAACACGTCAAATGTAAATTATAATTTGACATTGTTCAACGTAAAATGCCACCCCTATCTTCAACCCCCTGCGAATGACAGGTACAACCCCCAATTTTTTAAATGGGAAGTATAGGTTTGTGATATATCGTTTGAAATGTCTCTTCATTATCTTATCAGGCGTGACCGACCTAATCGCAAGCGTCATTCGTCATTCAAATCTGAAGGTTTAATTTCGTACATATTGCTCTTTACATATCCCCATAAAAAGAAATCTAATGGTGGAAGATCAGGTGATCCCGGTGGCCATTCAATCGATCCTCGCCTCCCTATCCACCGATTGGGGAATGTTGTATCGAGGTATTGCCGGACTTTAACTTGGAAATGTGGTGGTGCTCCATCCTGCTGAAACCATATCGTATTCACTGGAACTTGAGGGTTTCCTGGATCAGGATATAAATTTGCTAAACTTGGAATGACATCATTTCGAAGTAGTGCCAAATAATCATCGAGATTCAAGTTGCCCCCAATGAAAAAGGGATCAATGATATGCTTGCCTACGATCCCCGCCCAAACATGAACCTTTTGAGGGTATTCCGTGTGTTCTTCTCTCATCCAGTGAGGGTTTCCGTTGACCAGTAGCGGCAATTTTGCCGATTAGCATGACCGTTAAGAGACAAAGTGACTCATCAGAAAAAAAAAACATCTTCTACTGTTATTCAACATGTCCATCATTTGCTCACAAAAATAAGTTCTTCTATCAAAATCGTCTTCCATGAGCTCTTCAGTAGGTAACATTTTATAGGGATGCATTTTATTTTCTTTTAATGTTTACTATCGATGTATGGCTAACATTGAATGTAGTGGATGCCTGTCTACTCGATGTATGCGGGTTTTCCTCAAACTCAAGCGTCACATCTAATTTGAGTTCATCACTCTTTGCATTGACAGCTGCTTTTTTTATCTGCGCCACATGACTAAGCTCGCGAAACTGTTTCTCTATTTTGCTTATTGTTCCTTGAGATATTGGCGGTAAATTAGGAAATTTATTATGAAATGAGCGAGCTACTTTCTGTTTTGTTGGGGTTTTATCTCCATAAACAATCATTTGTAAAACTGTTATTTTTATGCATCTCCGTTAATCTAACCATTTGTCAGACTTGAAGTTAACGAATTTTAAACTTAAATTGAAAAACTAACAACTAATGTTGTAACATACAAAACAAGTTGACAGAGCGTTTTAAACTAATCTAGTCACGGAAATTATTTACAGTTTTTTGAAGGATACCACCCAAAAAGATCATTGCTATGCATTAATTTCATTATTCCAAATTTCAATTTTTTGAGTTGACCCGTTTAAAAATAAAAGGGGGGACACATTTAAAGAAATGCACTGTATGAATAATTGCCTATGTAATATTACCCAAAGGAGTAAATAAATATTATTTTATTATTACAATCTACTCGTATGAGACTATTTTGGATTCTTTTCATTGTTTCAGGCAAAAAACAAGGCGGGGCGCGAAGTAATTCATCTCTATCCAGTCGGGAGGTTGACTTCCAGAATTGGAAAAGAAGAAAGAGCTACGATCCCATGAAAGCAGCTGCAGAAGGAAAGAAGAAGGAGATAGCGAAGCGACAAAGTCTTGGTACAGGTCAAAATACGATGACTCAGTCTTATATAGAATCCAATCATAGCCAGGATAGTTCCCCTTCTCATTCCAGCTCTGTTCACCGATCTCAGGTATGTTGAAAATCTTTCATTTAGTATTTACATCGAAGATTTTTTTGAAGAGAACGTTATGCAAATATTACGTATTTTGCTTTAAATAGGTGCGGTACCCCAAAAATGTTCGCGCCTCCGGCGGGCTTTTCTGTGTGTATATAGTCTTTATGACTTTAGCCACCCCTGTTCTCCAATGCACGAGCCGTCACTGCCTCTATATCAATGGAAGTCAAGTTCAGTTATAATTTGTACTATTGGACGTGAGAAAATTCATTTATCTAAATAAATATATTAGTTTTTGAACTATCTCAAAGATAACATCTACAAAAAAAAATCATTTTGAAGGCAACGAACTTACCAACTGGAAACGTGGGTGGGAATCATCCATGTAACTAACCAACCCACAGTCACCCTTGAGAACGAGAAAAGCCCTAGTCTGAATAACGAAGTGACTCAAGTCAGTTTGAGGTCATTGTACAAAATCATTCATATCATTGGCGTACCAAAAGGTAGTACTTGATAACAAAACAATTACTTTTCTTTGTATTTAGATTTCTACTTCCGAATCCAACGTGACCTCCAGACGGTTCGGCCTGGTTTGAGAATTGTACCACGAAAAAATGTTGATTGCAAATGTATAAGAAACGAATATTAACGAATAATTGCTTGTCTGTAAGAACTTGGAATGAATATTGTATAATGGAATGGAAAAAAAGATGTGTAGTTCATGCAAAGAAGTAACTTGCTTTCTTCCTTTTTTTGGAAGATTCCCACATTTTTGTATGAAAATGGAAAAGTTGAAAGCCAAAACCTTTCTTTCTCAAGCTTTTAATCCGTAAAAAATCAATGATTCTCCGAATTTTGAGTAAAATATCAAACTATTTTTCTGGGCGAAATCCCAAGAACAACTAAGAGTAATAATAGGGGAGCCCAAGCGGGGATTTCGGGATTTACTAAAGCGCGGCAGATTAATATACAGGGGGATACCTTGTACCCGGTTAAGTACCTCCACCAAATATGATCCCCATATAAAAGGCCGCCCGTGGAGGATAAAGGATCAGATTAGTAAAAAAAAATATCATCAGACATTCTCGTGCGCGTCAGATTAAGGTAGGGTGAATTAATTACATGCTAAAAAGTATATATTCCAGTAATCTGACAGGTTGAGAGNTTAGGATATGAAACCCAAGTGTAAAAAATGTAAATGCCCATTTTGATTTCACTGATTTCTTCAAAGAAATTGAACAGAAAACAATTAACTTGGAACTTGACGGTGATGCAAACTCAAAATGTGAACTTGAAAAAGCTAATAACTGCATTACCACTGACGACATAATAAAGTGAATGGTTTAGGAATCTTATGTTCAAAGCTATCAGAAAAACTAGATGGAAATCTATGAAAACTTCCAAAGTCCAAGCACACCAATGGAAGAGTCCAGGAAAGTCAATACCAAAAAAGCACGTCGAGTTCGATCAAATGTCAAGGTTTTGCTCCTCGATTACCATGGCGTAGTGCATCAGGAGCTCTTGCCACATGATCGCACGGTCAATAAGAAGTATTATATTGAAGTTATGCGCGGCTTGCATCACGATATGCACCTGCTGACTCGTCATTGCTCGTTCGCCATTTTTTTGTCCAAAAACAACACCCTAATCATGCTTCAGCCACCGTATTCGCCAGATTTGACCCCCTGCGACTTTTTCCTGTTTCCTAGATTGAAGAGACCCGTGAAAGGACGGCGTTTTGCGACGACTAATGGGACATACCAAAACGTGCATATCAGAGCTGCTTCTTATGAAATGTATGAAACTTTTCATTAGAATCAAAAATAGACAATTCTTTGAATACTTTTCAAAAAACAATCCAAAAATTTCAAGCCAAATATGCATCGTGCATATGCACGATGTTTTCTACCATTTACAAGAGAAAAGACACAACTATCAACTATTTATACAAAAAGACTAATGATACAAGATATTTACGAAGAATTCCGCATGACCCTAGAAATAGATTGCTAGGCCATCACATTAGAACGCTTTCTCCAAATAAAAATAGTGAAAAAGATTTCCGACGCCCGAGGACAATCCATAAATTCCTGGACAGAATGCAGCGAATAATTATACACTCGAAAAAGTTCGAATGCATTGCTCAACAATTGCAGGGGATTCAATAAAAATGCTGTAACAAATTCAAAAGTGAAATTTAATCTCTATTAATTCGTCTCTATTAATACACGATGTAGGAACGGAAAGAAACAAACCCTTAAGGAAAAAATGGTAACAGCGTTCAAAATGATGAATTGAAAAAATATCAATCATTAAGTTCAATTGTTTCGGAGTGTATATTGCATGGGTAACATGATTAACGTAAGAGACTGAATTATAAAATGAATTAAATGAGAATATTTTTCAAGTAGAGATAGACAAACAATTGAAATATAAGTAACTCTGTTTGAAATATTTTACATTGTTTACATCGTACAAAACTCATTCTACAATTTGAAACTCCTCGTCATAATATGTTACTTCTATGAACCCCTTGGATTGTGACGATACACTATCACTTTTACCTCTATAATCAAAGAATATATTGTGATGACATCACAAGCTTTTGATCAATACATTTATATACAATACTAGTACTATGTTGCTGTATCGCTGCTGTTCCATTGTTTTGGCAGAATCAAAATCAACGAACTTAGACGTGCGCAGCGTTATAGAACAGTGCTTTCAAAAAATTGTTCTACAGCGCCATCTAGTGGCGAGTTACAGAAAAATTGATAGCCTAAAAACCTTCTCTATGGAAAATTACTCATACATGTCAAGTTTCATCACGATCGGTTGAGCGATGTAGAAGTTTATCACTTACCAAACAACCAACAGACATCCATTTTTATATATATGATACTTGTATATCATCGTTGTTATTATTAGGCCGATAAATTAACAGAAAAGTCGTATAACAGATCAAATAAAGACAGGGTAGTTATGAATTATTTCTTGCCAATATACCTTGAGCAAAATACTCTTTGTTGAAAAGATAATTGAAAATCGTGATGTGGCCCCTTTTTACAAAAAAAACAATACATTGAAATGAAAATAGTCCACGTAGATCGTAGAATTGGCGGTTCGTATTGGATACTTTTTACCAACCGAGTTTTATGGTTGGCTGAAGTGTCATAAAATCAAATTTGAAGTAATGTTACGGTAACGAATAAAAATGGTGGAATGCGGGGATGGTTATCGCCGTCGTGTCATCAATGTTCAGTTGAGGAACTGATCGCGATTTGACTGTTGATATTCGATATTGGTGCAGTTATGATAACTTAAAATTGTTGTTGTTGTCTAATAGTAATAACGAGTGTTCGCCGAATGGTTCACCTTCAGAAGTAAAACTTTATTTTTCTCCCCTTGAGCTTTCGTTTATTTGCATCCCTTAAGTTGACTCATAATTACTAAGCTGGGTTTCACTTAATTATTTAATTTCCGTGTAGACCGCGGCAGGTATCCAAGGTTTATTGACCTTTTATGTTTCTTCTGGAATTATTTCATTTCATTTTTATGAAGAAGTTACGCAACAGTTGAAAAATGACAAAACTATTGAAATCGTCATCAAAACGAATGGGTCGCTTAGGATTTACTGTCTTCTAACGGCAAATTATAGACGTGTCACGGAACCATCGATTATGAACGAATATAATTGCCCTACATATTTTCTATTTTACTTCCAACCTTCATTTTTGTAACTCTTGAGTTACCGTAATCAACTCTTCAAAATAATTATGATTCGTTGCACACTGAACAAATTGCCTGAAATATTGATATATTATTTTTCGTCGCAATATCTGTTGAAATTAGGAATTGCATCAACATTTTTCATATCCCTCCAGGCGAGATGTGTATTCTTTATTTATTATTTATGCGTTTTAGAAAGTAATAACCTCTTTCAAGGCATGTGGATAGATATTTACCTATCAAACCGGAACAAGTTGTGACTCACGGCATTACAATGAATTTGAAGTGTAGGTAAGTCAGTGGCGTAACCACACAAGTGTCTTGAGGCTATTGAACGAAAGTCATTTTTTGTGGAGCAAAAGCAGTTTTTTGTCGACCTCTTTTGGGTATTTTTATCTTCCACAATATGAAGATTTTAATGGAGAACTTTATGAGAGATGATGAAGTAACCACAAATGAATGTCAAACTGTTTCCATTCCCGACAATCAAAATGTAAAGACCATACCTAATACTTCTCCACAAAATTGTTTATACCCTCGTCTGAGGCCCAATGGATATCTAAGTACAGAAGAGTTTGATGTGAAAAATAATAGTCAGGGAAGTTATGGCACCAAATTGTGCCAGGGCTTATTGAATAACTTCAATTCTATTGAATTATTTGTGCATAACCATAATATCGAAATAGTTTGTCTATCAGAGATTCTTTTTTTAATAATTTTGAAATGGCAACAATTTATTGTAGACAAAACCATATCCGGGGTGGTGTGTGTATTCTTGTAAAAAAAGGGATTAAATTTAAAGAAATACTAACTATTAAGAAATGTTCTACAGAATGTCAAGTTGGAATATGTGGTATTTGCTGCGAGGTGAATAGCTTGAAATTGATCATTATAACCGTTTATAGACCTCCTAATGGCGATGTGAATCATTTTTTTGACTGTTTATTGCATACACTAAAACTTGCCGAATTAAAATCTGATAGTATTATTTTGTGTGTAGATTTCAATATTGACTGTCTGGTGAAAGACACTAATGCCAAATTAATGATGGATTTGTTCAACTCATTTCGATTAGAAACTAACATGTTAGGTCCCACAAGAATATTTACCAACATCAATAATCATACCAGCTGCACCAGTATTGATTACATGGTTACCAATTTCTCTAAAGAACTTTATGATTGTGAACTAATCCTAGTTCCCCTTCTCATTCCAGCTCTGTTCACCGATCTCAGGTATGTTGAAAATCTTTCATTTAGTATTTACATCGAAGATTTTTTTGA